GACCCGGCTTTTATGTTCGGGTGTTGAAAGGCTTTTCTGTAAAATTCCTTTTTCAAAGCTTCTTTTTCTCATTGAAAAAAAATATAAATTTGGTTGTAACTGTATTATGGATTTTGGGTTTAATTTGACACTTAAAGTGAAGGAGAAAAATTTTGTTTCCTGTTTTCACGTTTAGGAAACTTCTGATCAACATTCTTGAACTTGGTGCTGTTAAGCTTCCAAGAACAACTGCTTTACCCTTCTTAATCATAAGCATTTAAAACCTTTGTCAGCTTTCACTTGGAGTCCCTGGTTTTAACTTGAAATGGCTTGAAGTAGAAATTTTGTTAGCTTTTTGTATGTTTGGATTTTGTTCTGTTTTTAACTTTCAACTTGAATTTTAAGATCATCAATCACAGGCTTTTCTTTCAAGTCAGTGGCACGGCTCTCAGTTGCAAGACTTAGAGGGTCAAGTATTTCCCTCATGCTATTAAAATTTTTTTAAAACATAGTATTTTAGGAATTTGAGCTCCACTGATCTTTTCATCATACACCTGCATTTTGAAATGAACAAATAAATTAGGTGTAAGAAATCCAGGAAATGTTCTCTCACCGTCTCTACTCTTATCCCTCCTTCACTCTCTTTTTTGGGCAAAGGTAAATTATCAACTGCTATATCAGCTTTCAGCAAGCCACAAAGAGGCTAATTGTGGCTTTACATATTTTAAAATACATTAATTTGTTCAAGCTATCTCTTTTATTTAAAAGTTTTCCTGCACAGATTTTTTTTTCCTTTGAATTATTGAGAATGTGTCTCATCTCCCAACGCTCTGTAACTCCAGTGGACACTATAATCAGCCTGTGCTTTTATCTTTCAAATGGCATTTATTTGTAGGGTATATATATGTCTGTGTCTGACTGTAAATTGTTTTCATCTGCCAAATTAAACTAGTTGTTGTTTATAGGTTTCAGTGAAGCAATGAAAACAAAGTATTTGACACCTCCCTCCCCAAATTCAGGGTGAGTTATTCTAGCCTTCTCATTATTTATAATCCCAGTTAATTTTATCGAATTTAGTCTTTGAAGTTTTGCTTCTAGATAAGGTTTTATAATGGATACGATTATAAATTTAAAACTTTACTATGTTCAGAGAACGGTTCAATGTCAGCAGAACATAATCTACTTTCTCCAGATGGGTATAAATTCCCTTGATGGTCTTTCTGACCGGATGAGAATTTGAATTGGGTGAAATGAATCCAAAGTAGACTGAGCTGAATCTTGGGTTCATTTCTGAATTTTATTTGCAAGTGTATCCAGTGTTAGGTGTGTTATTTTCATATTTTGGTTCATACTCTGAGGCTTGGTATCTCCTTATGGCCAGAGCTTTGTAGATGTTGCTTTTCTACTACACTGAGCAATCTGCTGTTTAATATATGCATAACTGAAAGGTTTGTGCAACTGCTTCTCCACCACCCTTCCTCCCTGTGCCTCCTGCTCTTGTTTCTTCCCTCATGAAGTATCATATATTTTGTTAGGAAGAAAAGCCCTTTTGGAAATTGCCTATTTCATAAATTGTTTGGTGACACAAAGGGGTTGAATGCTGTTTTCTTGTCTCATTTATTTTGAAAACTTTGCTCCTGAACTCACCTGAATCAATGAGCTCAGTGTTGTCTCCAATAAGTTATGTGTTGGATATATTGATTGGGAGGGATTTTAGAAAACCCGTCTGGGGTTTATAATGTCAGCAGTGTTTTGATTATGAAAAGAGTTGGAACCTGGGGACATGGAACCAGGTGGCGAATGTTCTAAAGCCAGTGGTGACATGGTGGACTGGTTCCCTCCTGGGATCTAGTTCATGCCCTGCACTTTAACTGTGGTGACTGGCTACTATAGATTCACTTTTTTGCTCATTAAAATGTTAAGAAATCAAATCGTACATAAAAAGATTTGTGAAAACATAAACTTGGGAATTGATCTGGAGAGCTGGCATGCAATCTTCCCCACCCCCTGCCTTAGCAATGAGGTCATTTACATTTCATCAGCTGTGCAGCATCTCCAAGATCCGATTTATGTGGCAGTAGTTGAACTTGCACTGAGGTAGGTTGTCTGAAAGAGCTTGTGTAGGCAAGAGAAATGGGGGAGAGAACAAGAAAATTACCATCTACAAAGAAACTTCCCTAGCCAAAAGCATAGGTTCTAGAGAGAAAAAGGGGGTTGGTAACTGGTTAGTGACTGTTTTCTCAGTAAAGTTAATATTGAAAGACAGTGGGAAACTCCGCCATAAATATAATACTCAAAATATACTTAAATCAGGGTTTTAAAGCTGCCTCTCAGAGAGCCGTACTTTTCATATTTGAATAATTGTGGGGTGGTTTTTTTTTTTTTTTGATAAAAGAGAAATAGTTGAATGTTTATATATAGGGAAAACATTGTATTAAGAAAATTAATTTCAGCATTTTTTAAAATTTACAAGGAACATTGTTTTTCCTTCCCTTTTCCTGTTCTCCTTCCAAACTAAGAAGTAGATATTTCAGTTCTGATTGAGATAATGTATGAATATGCCTAACACAGAGTAGATGCTCATTTTTGTTTCTTCTGACAGCACACCACCATCTTGTTTGACTTAAATTGGAATATCAAGCTCTTGTAGTATTACAAACATGAAGAAGCATATTGTAATGTACAAACATGTGCCTACATTTGCCTATATCCCCCCCACCGCCGCCACCCCATTGCTTAATTAGACTTATCGCTACTTTCTTGGATAAAAAGGAAAGCTTGTGGGAGGTGGGTTACACTCAGCCTACATTGGATATTTTGATATTTGTTCTAATATTATCTGACAGACAAGTGCAAAGTTGGTTATTACTCTTGACATGAGAAAGTGGTAAGTAGTTTCTATATTGTAGTGAGTAATAAGTTGGGCATATTAGATTCCCTTGACTCTGCTGTAGAGCACAGTGCTATCTTGTAGCCATGGGGGGTCCTTTCTTTCAAAAATCTTTGAGGCCTTTTGCCAGCGCAACTCCAGCATAGAGTGAAGTGCTTTCTGCACCTGTAACTTTTGAGGGGTAAAGGATAACTGTCTTAGTAGCTGATACTGGCAATGAGTGAGCAGTTGGTACTGGATTTTAAAGGGTATTTGGTACATATACTGAAGTTGAGAGATGCTGTGTGGTATTTGAAACTTGAAGTGGAAGGAAACTTGTAAGGAATTTTTTTTTCGTGTTACATCATAAGGGTTTTATGTATATGGATTATAATATATTTTATAATTAAAACTGCAGACAATAAAGTGGATATTTTATGATATATTTTCCAATATTTGCCTGATAATAACTTTATGCACTGAGAAATTGCTCTCGTTTCACTATTAGCTTCTGCAACTTACTTAAACATGATTAGTTTAAAACCAATAAATATGGACTCCTGAATGCCACACTATAAAATTAACCAATAGAAAAATAATGCCTCTTAGAATATGCTGAGGTATTCTTATTCACTCTTTTTCATTTTTTAGTTTCCTGTTCATTAACTATTTTGTGACATGTGTTAACAGTGCTGTGATATACATGGTACCAGTCCAAGATGATATTAAAAAATAGGTTATGCTCAATTGAATTATGTAGGCAGAACATGCTCTGGCAGAGCAAGTCAATGTGCTTTCTGCTTCATTGAGTGGGTTATTAGATTGATGTGGTTTATTTCTTGAATGATAGAACTGGTTTTAAAAATAAATGAACCGAGAAGCATCAATTCAGTTAGCATTGATAATTCATTATTATTGGTTAGAAAAGTGCTACATTTGTAAACTTATCTTTAATTTATCACTTGGATTCGGATTTGCAATGGGCAGGTTTGTTTTAATTTGAACCAGCTTCTCAATGAGTGAAAAAATGTGTTCTTCATTTTGTCTTGAATTTGGGATTTTAAATAGTTAAAAAGAAAATCAGATGCATGAAAGGAATACTTTTTTAAAATTTATAACATAGGGCTATGAACTTATGATAAGCACAAACTCTGGGCTGTTCAAGCCTCCAGTTAGATTAAGTCAATCTAAAGAAAATTCTATGAAGGAAGTAATAATTAATTACTTGTGTATGTGTTTAGTTATGTGTATATGTACTGTATATGTGAAATGTGTCTACTGGGGAAAATCGCAGTCTACTGTATATTGTGACTCATGTACCAGTGTTCTTTTCTTAATGTAAGAAGATTGTCTTTCATGAATAAGTCTTTGAGATGTCACTCTATTTCTCGTACCATACTCCTGAATAATGTGCTTGGTTTTATGTTTCTGTATATTTGTAAAAACATTTCAACTGGCTGTTTGCTTTAGATTTTCAAAAATTACAAGCAGGTAAGTATGTCCAATTATGATAGTGATATTTAACTAAAAATAGTGCATACTTAAAATTGTTACAGTTTGTTTCCAAAATAAATTTATGCCAGAAATGGCAGCTTCTTTATAAAGTAAGTAAATGAATTTTTAATTCTAAAAAGCGTAGGTGACAGTGTTCAGGGACAATTATCTTCAAGTTGGCTTTCTGTTCTGCTGCAATTTGGCCTATTGATGTTGGGAAGTGTTGTCTAATCCCGGCCCCCTCTGTTCCTAGGTAACAGGCAAAAACTGTGCCAGCAACAGCGGCCCTGCCAGGCCAAACCCATGTGGCTCGGTGTTATTCACTCTGATCCATATGGTCAGGCTGGAGATGGTCCCTGGAGGGGTGTTAACACTCAGCAACCCAACCGCCTCCCTCCCTTCAGAGCTTTCCTGCGTGGCTCCTGCTGCTTGCCCATGTGTGATTCTTGATTAATTTTTCATTTTTAATGAAGTTTGATCATGTTTATTATTTCTCATGATTGACTGCCTGGTACTCCTCCCATGTAATTGATAAAGCCCATATTTCTTCATCTGTCTCCTGTTTCTTTAGGGTAAAGTTGTTAGATTGTGTGCTATGGTTAATGTTAGATTTATTGGTCCCATTAGAGGTATAAATTATCTCTCTTTCTCTCCGCAGGAAGTTCTACAGACTTTGACCAAGTTTTGTTTCCCCTTCTGTGTGGACAGGTAGTGTCAGATTTTTAAACTTTACTAGAAAAAAAGTGTCAGTAAACCTGCTATAGAAAATAAAAACCATACCATTCTTAACATTCTGTCTGTTTAACCGTGATTTAAAACACCTTAGTTCCAAGGAGAGTTGCAATATTCTCCTTTCCTGGGGATTTTATTGACACTATCAAAAAGTTTAAAGCTTAGGGTTTTGCATTGGTTAGTTTGTGAGATGTATTTTGTGTGGCATTAAATTTTTGATTTTGGTTATCAGACTTAAACCATGATTAAGAATGGTTGGTGTTTAATCCAGTGCTATTTAACTTTTATTTAAATATGAATATATTTGGCTTAAACAGGTAATATTACATGCCTCCATGGCCTTGTGAGTATTTTATAGACTTTTTTTCTAGACTTCAATTTATAATTTAAATCAGCATAGGCCTATCTAGTTTCAAGGTATTCAGCTATTTAAAAGGCATGTTGCTAAATAATGTTTTACATTTTGTTTAGGCAGCCAGGAATGGTATCTTTCGGGAAATCAGCATTTTCTATGGATTTCTAAACTGAAAAACACAAAATCACCTAAACATTTCCTTAGTATTTATATTATGATAAATTGTTTCTTGGAAAGATACAAATATAAGAACGTCAAGATAATTAAAATAATCTGAAGGGTTTTAAAAAAAACAAAACAAAACAAAAACAAGCCAGTGGTTAATGGTAACAATTTTAGAAGAGATTTTACTTTAGTAAACTGTAATTTACTAACTGTATTAATTAAATAACAAAACAATCACCTTTATTTTCAAGAAATGTCTACTTTTTAACTTCACTTGAAGTTTTTTTCTTTTTGCAGTCATTTATTTGTCCACTTGATTGTTGTCTTTTCAGTTTTCTCTTAATGGAAAATCGAACTATGAGACTATACGTTATGTTATATCTTAAAAATTCCACTTTTAGTGACAAAGAGGTTGTAGAAAATGCCATGGTAATAAATGCCATAATATGTTCCAAGAAAGCTGTAAAATGTACTCATCTTCAGGAAGGTTCTATCTCATATTTTAGTGTACCCAAACAAGGCAGGGCCTGAAAGATTTTAGTGATCTAGAGCACATGTGGGTAGTATGCTTCTTGGATCTTTTTGACACTTCGTAGTACCAGTGTCCTGGTTTATTTGACATTAACCTAAAAATGGTGTGGGATGAGACTTGGTAGCCAAAGGAGTTTAGAAAGAGTACTAAAAAGCAACTCTGGAATGTTGCCAACCACTTACAGTCACTGCGCTCTCTGGTTCTAACATGTTATTTTTTAAGCCAATCAACCATTGTTGTATTTCCAGACTCAGACCTTTTTAAATCTGGGTACCAGGATGTTTTAGTACCAGGTTGATGCTCAAAACAGAATAGCCTTAATTTTAAAAGGGTCAGTCTTTGTGATGAGAGTCCTCTTGTCTCTTCCTCATCCTGTTTCTTCTAAAAATATCAAGGAAGTAGGGTTTTGTTTAGAGATGTTTAATGCAAACTTCACATTTATATGTATGAATTAGCGATGCATGAAATCTCCTCCAGTGACTTATAAAATGTATTACAAATTATGGCAAGGGCATATTTATACAAAATAACAAAGCTGAAATGTTTTAAAAATGTAGGTAGGTGTTTAACAAAGAAAAATAAAAGAATACATTTTTACATGGCTTCTTGTTAGAGTGGTGATCTGTTTTGGATAGGTGTTCCTTAAGTGACTTTGTAAACTAATATTAGAAGAAATGTACAATGTGATTAAATTTCTGCACCCCCCCCCACTTTTCTCTTTCTTTCATAGGCCACACATGCACACCTGTACTATACTTACCTACCTGTCTAGATGATTACATTCTGAAATGGAAGAATAGCAGAGTCCTCAAGTGATAATTTTAAAATGCTTTTTGTTTGTCACAGATAATGTTTGATACCTTTATTTATTTTTTAAACTTAATTTTGAATTTTTCTTTTCTTGGCTGGCTGGTATGGAGATTTGAACCCTTGACCTTGGTGTTTCAACACCAAGCTCTAACCAACTGAGCTAACCAGCCAGCCCCTGTTGTTTTTAGAAAAATATTTTTCTTCCAAAATGCTTCTCTCCCCTAATCATATTCCTTGTATTTTTTTTTTAATGATTTGCAGATGGAAATGTCCTTTTATGGATATATTTTAATCCTCACCATGCTCAATAGCTCTTTCTTATATTTTATTATATTACATGCCCTATGGGTGTTGATAACTTTTATTGATATCAAAAAAACCCTACTTTATTTTGGGTACCATATTTTTTCTCTTCTGTTTGCTCACTTCTAACTTTGGCATAATTTAATGGAGAAAAGATAATGATAGTGAAGTTCATTTACAATAAATACAAAGATTTTAATATCATGATTTTTTTTATTAGTTTGCAGTTAGCACTCTTAAATGGATATGCCCAGATACTGAGACCCCCTCCCCGCCCCCCCCAGAGCTCCCCAGGTGTGTTTATGATATTGTTTGACTTAGAAACTATATCAGCATGGGAGATGAGTAATGCCCTAGGTGATTGTGCTCAAAAAAGAAAGCTTCCTAATCTTTTCAGTATCTGTGCTTTTCTATCCCAAGGAACAGTAATACAGCTTTCTGACATTTCTAGTCTATATCGAGTGGTATTTTCACAGTCATCATCAAATCACCCCTTAACATTGACATCTTGCTGTCTCTTGTGTTGTTTTAAGATTTTTCTTTCTGAAACTAGGACTTATGAAAAATAATAATGCTGGTAGCTCTTCAAAAGAAAGTGCTTTCTCATATGTTATCTCATTTTATCCTCCTATCATAAGAGATAAGAACAAGTGCCATTATCTTCACTTGAAAAAAACTTAAGCTGCAGAGAAATTGTTACTTGCCCAAGGTCCTCTTAGGCTATCAGCACAACCGAGATTTCCATCTCCCAAATGAATACATTTTCCGGTAGACCACCTTGTGGGAAGGACCAGTCACCAAATATATAGAGAGGGAGGAAAGGAAGGAAATTAGCATTTGAGTTCCTAATTGATTCTAGTCAAAGTGCTGGGCACTGTCCCATTGCTACCTCATTTGTTCTCTGCAGCAGCTCTGAGAGATAGCTGGTGGTGGGATCTTTTTCACAAAAGAGCCAAGGAAGGTTCAGGATGTGTGGCATTATGTTGGGTGATGTGGAAGACATGAAAATGATCTCAGACTTGGAGCCCTGCTCTCTATGTGTTTCCCAATCTAGTCTAGGAGGTATTTTAAAGCCATATCAAACAACCTCTATCCAAAAGGATAGTGAGGTTAGAGAAGACTGAAATGGTCAGAGAAAACTTCTTATGGTGGGTGAGACTTGTGTTGAGTCTGCCAAGACAGCAAGAAGTGGGTAAGTGGAAGAGAAAGCCTAATGCCACGTATGCACTGAAGAGCAAAGCAGAGGAGAACCCTGAATGAGCCTAGAGACGCTCAGCCAGAGCAGAGGGAGCCTGCTGGGGAGAGGCTGACGTGTACCATGAGAGCTGGGCTCTGGCCACAGAAGGCCTTGAAATTGTGTGGGAAGAAGCCACAGGATTTTAAACCTGAAATTCATCTGCTTCAAACATCCCATTTTACAGAAAGGAAACCAAGATATACAGAGGTGACATGACTTGCTTATGGTCACAACTATGTAATTACAGAACTGGGAAAGGGACAGATACTCTTATTCCCAGTCTGGAGTTATTTCTACCCTACACTGTACTTGAAGCTCTTGGTGGAGGGCAGTATGAAGTGTCAGTGCTGAGTTCCCTGTATCACTTTCAGAAACTTTTCATTATGACTGATGAAAGCAGTCTCTTAAAAAAAAGACTTGTACCATTCCATAATGTGGCGCTTGCACTTAATAGCTGACAACCAGCTTCAGTTAGTCAAAGCATTCAAGAGATGCTTTGTATAATGGAAAAGCTATTCCTTTCCATGTTTTTGCTTATCCTCTTTCAGAACCCAGAAAGTCAGCTATCACTCAATTGCCTTGTAAATTATACTGTCCACACACATGACAGGAGCATGAAATGAAGTGACAGTCTTTTCAGGAGCAGAAGCATCATTTGAAAGTTCAGGATGAATTCTTTACAAACTATTCCAAAAGATTGAAACAGACGCGAAACTCCCAAACTCATTCTATGAAGCAAACATCATCCTGATACCAAAACCAGGTAAAGATATAACCAAGAAAGAAAACTACAGGCCGATATCCTTGATGAATATAGATGCAAAAATCCTCAATAAAATATTAGCAAACAGAATACAACAACACATATGTAAAAT